GGACAGAAGAGGCTGTTGGATCCCCTGGAACTGGAGTTACAGACAGTTGTTAGCTGCCATGTGGGTGCTGGGATTTGAACCTGGGTCTTCTGCAAGAACAGCTAGTGTTCTTAACCACTGAGCCATCTCTCCAGCCCCCAGCTTGCTTCTTTTTTAAAACTGTAGGTGCATGAGTGTTTTGCCTGCAGCTCTGTAAGTGCACCTGTGTTGTGTAATGCCCATAGAGGTCAGAAGAGGGCCTTGAATTGCCCCCTGGAGCCAGAGTTGTGGACCATTGTTAGCTACCATGTGGGTCTTGGGTCATCTGCAAGAGCAACCCATCCTAACCGCTGAGCCATCTCTCCAGCCCCTCATTCCACCCACTTGTGGGTCCCTTGGGAATGTGTTACCTGCCTCCCCTCTTCGTCCACACTAAAATAAGCCCCTCTAGCCAGGCATGGTGGCGTAGGCCTGTAAACCCAGCACTCAGAGGTAGGCTTATCTCTGTGGATTCGAAACTAGCCTGGTCTACATAAGTTCCAGGTCAGCTGGGGCTACAGGGAGACCCTGTCTCAAAAAGGCCAAAAAAAGAAAAGAAATAAAATATACCCCTCTGACCCAGCATGTTTAACAATGCTCAGTAAAGACTTCCCATAAGAGCTAAGGCACCCCCACTTTACAGATGGGTAACTGAGGCTCCGAGGTGAGTCCTACCAGTCAGGGAGTGGTAAGGGGAGGAGGCCGGACCTGCAGACCACCCAGGGGGGTAGGGGGCAGTTTGAGAGGTAGGAACCCTGGCTGGCCCAGTGGCATCCACGGACACAAAGTAATTTCCCTCTTGGAAAGGCAATCACCTGACTTTTCCTCCCCAGTCCCTTCCTTCCTCCTCTTGGGCTGCTAAGTGTTGAAAGACGGTGTCTGGTTTTCCTCCTACAAAAAGAAGAGGCGTGTAACCTGGGGAAGGCTGTAGGAAGGAGATTGTATCTTAATAGTGTCATATTTGGAGGTTGCCAAAACTTTTTGCTTCTGGTAGTGAAGCCTAGAGGATCTTGGGGCTGCTGGACATCCTGAGGGAGATTTCCTTACGACGAGTGTCCCTCGACCGCTCGGGCTTCTACCCAGTTTGCCCAAGAGCAAGGCAGGGAAGAACCACTGGTTGGGTTGGGTAGGGATGGTGGCCCTGGGGAACTGGGAGTTGGTGTCAAGCCCAGTCAGTGCCAGGCAGCTCGATGTCCCAGCCAGAGGATACCTGAGAGCCCTCCTGGGCATTTGCTGGGAGGCCGCCAGCCAGCACATGACACCAGGTAACATTGTCAGAACTGCGGTGCCTTCCTCCCCGGAGCTTGAGGCCCGGGAGGGAAGTTGCTGCTGGCAAGGAGAAACCTGGCACAGGTTGGGGATATGCTGGCACAGGACACAGCCAACCAGAGGCTGAACCCCGCCCACCTGTCCCTTTCCCTTCAGTCTCCTCTCCCCAGGACCCGGTGGGGCCCTCAGGCCTTTGTATTTCTCTTGGGATGAAAGGAGGTAGGAGAAGGGAAGGTCACAGAGCTTCATCCCCTCATTTCTGAGAAGCTGAGGTAAACAATGGGGTGACCTGTGGCACATCAGGCAGGAAGGGTGGGTACCCCCTTTGAAGTCCTGTTGACCTGGAAGCTGACTCAAGGCCACACAGTGAGGCTGTGGTTTCCTTGTCTATGAAATGGGGACGCTGGCCTCAACTAGGTGGTTGACAGAAATCTGGCCGCCCCTTGCTCCTGAGGCAGTGGGTGGGGGCCCTGGACCCAGGCCCAGAGAGTGAAGAGCTGGACTGAGGGCTGGAGGGAAATCACAGCGGGGGGGGGGGGGGGGGGAAAAACCGGGGGGGGGGGGGGGGGAGGACCAGTGGCAGAGTGTCCTCTGTGAGTCCTGCTCCCTCCCTCGGGAAACTTAGGGGGTGGACTTGCCTCCTTTAGGGGAGCTCAGAACGGGGTGGGGGGGGGAAGCTGGACCTGGAAGAAGAGGAGGAAGATGGAGACGAGGGAGAAGGAAGAGGAGGAGGAGGAGGGAGGGGGATGAGAAAAAAAAGAGGGGAGAGGGAGAAGGGGGAGGAGGAGGGAGAATAGAGGGTGGAGTCAAGTGTCTGGCAGAGCAGCTGGCTCTGGCCTGTCCCCCATGGGTCCTCCTGGAGAGCTCTGACTTCTAGAAGAGCATGTCACAGGGATACCGATGTCCTGCCGTCTTGGCCACCTGTAAATGAAGTAGCCTGTGAATGTTTCATGGGTCTGTGCTTAAAAATAGATGAAGTGGGCTGGAGAGATGGCTCAGCGGTTAAGAACACTGACTGTTCTTGCAGAAGACCTAGGTTCGAATCCCAGCACCCACATGGCAGCTAACAACTGTAACTCCAGTTCCAGGGGATCTGACGCCCTCTTCTGCCCTTTGTAGGCATTGCATGATACTGGTGCACTTACCTACATGCAGGCAATACACACATACACATAAAATAAAAATAATAAAAATTTTTAAAAAATAGATGAAGTGAGGAGAATCAGGCCAGATTCCTGCCCTGGCAGGGGAAGGGCTATCCAGAGACTCCCTAGGGGGATGGTGGGAAGGGGCTCCCAGGAGGCCTGGGAATTTGTCCACATCTGGGATGTCCTGCATGGGAAGGACTGTCTGGAGCTCTGGGTCTCCAAGCTGGGGCATATGCATATGTGTGTGTGTGTGTGTGTGTCTGTGTGAGTGTGTGTCTGTGTGTGTGTGTGTGTCTGTGTGAGAGTGTGTATCTGTGCGTGTGTGTCTGTGTGTGTGTGTGAGTGTGTGTCTGTGGGAGAGTGTGTGTGTGTGAGAGAGTGTGTGTCTGTGTGAGAGTATGTGTCTGTGTGAGAGTGTGTGTGTGTGTGTGTTCATTGCTGTGGCCAGAAAATTTAACAAGAAGCAGTTTAGGGAAGGAAGGGAGGGGACTGTTTTGACTTGGAGTTTGAGGGGCACAGTCCGTCATGGAGAACTGCTGATCGAGCGGCTCACATCACAGAGAGGAAGGCTGGTGCTCAGTGCTCTTTCTCTTTCTCCTTTTATTGTTTGGAATCCAGGCCTGATGGACTAGCACTGCTCACGAATGCCCATTTTCAT